TGCACTTGAAGAAATAATAAAAAAAAATGTTTTATTTCAATTTTAAGTGGTGTCTTGTGGGGGTTGCATAAAGCTTAAAAATTGGTCTCTTCATTGGTTTAATTCAAATTTTCTGACAAGCATCCCCTCCCTGGGTTTTTCCCTTTTGTTAATAAACACTATTTCCGTGCTTGTGAACTTTTTTTTGTTTAGCAGGTTTGATGCTCAAATAACATTAACCTTATAAAATTTTCTAGCTATTATCCTGCACATATCTTTTGTTATGGAGTTTAAACAGATATCAATCCTTGAGTCTCAGATGGCAACTGCAGGTCAAATATTTATTCATTGGCAGATGTTATCAACTTTTTGTGACCAAATTATGTCAAGTTGAAAAAATTATGCCAACATGAAATCTTCTGAACTTCTAACAGCAAGAAAACAGGAATTTTCCAACCCCAACTTTTTCCAACAAAAGGACCAAGAGTTTCAGTGTTGTCTGCCTTCTCAGGTAGCAGAAACTATTTTATTTAGAACATGAAAAAACATCCACAGTGCACACTTACAAGTCTTGGACCAAATTAGAAGGCCTAATAATCAGGATGGGGTGATTTAGAGTTGGAGGGAAGGTTGGACGAACAGTAAATAAGGAGGCCAAACATGTAGTGGGGGGAAGCCCTGTTGGGGGGACTCTCACACAGATAGGATGGGGGTGCTACTCGCCGTACATTTTAGGGGTTTGAAAAGCAGTTTTGGTACCTCTTAGGGTGTTTAGCCTCAAAAGGTCCACGCTGGGAGATTTTGTGGTATTGAGCCGAAACAGGAGCATGCTCCCAGCCAAAAAAAATATGACAGGAGATGTGTCGTTTTAGAATTAGTATCTCTTAGGGGAGAAAAAAATTCAAGCCGTGCCCACTAAACAGGATCTTGGCACCTCTTAGGCGTTCTTTTCAAAATTTCCAACGAGCACCCCTGTCCTTTTTATATGGGAGTCTGCCCCTCCAGGGGGGGGGGGGGGGAGATTTAGGGTTGGAAATTTTGATGCTGGTCTAGGTAGCCCCTGTCCCTGTGCATGGGGCTTTCAGTAAATTATTTGTAGCCCTGCATCCCAATAATGATGACGTTAATATCCCAAAATGTCTTCAGATTTCGTTAAAAAAGAAATTGTCCTCATTCCTGATTTCTCGAAGGTTTTTCTTTTTCCCGCCATCGGCTGGGCCTCGTTTCCAAGCGTTTTTCAGCATACTCAGCTGCGGTCCTGGAACGAGCCGAGGTCGTTTCGGTCCGTTTCCTTCTTATCTGAGTCAGTGACTGTACAACTGCAAGGACAAAATGCCTAACAAGAAGAAAAACAATCAAGCGAGGAATCCTTTTTACTTTTTTATGATATCTCTAAGACCTCAGCTAGAAAGACAAGGAGTGGTTTTAGAAAATGGAATGCAGTCATTGGCGGAAATAGCGGGTCCTCGTTGGAAGGTAGGACAGTGCGAATTAATTAATCCATATTGAACTCTTTAGTTCTACATGTACAGGAGCTAAAATAAGCGAGTTGAATTTGTGTTTGAAAGAGGATTGAGTCCTTCTGTAATATTGTAAAGGGCAGTGACGTGGTAAAACTTATTTTCTGGAAATAAGTAAATAAAGTAACCTTTAACTGATCGAAGTCTGAATGTTAATGCGCACTTTTTGAGCAATTATCGTTCCTCATTGAAAGGGNCGGGACTTGGGTGGCGTATTTTCCATATCCTCACTAATGAGGCCTCACCTCTGAAGATATTGATGACTTCACGGATATCATGTTTGAACCTTACACCCACTTTCAGTGTTACATGCATAGGCGACATCTTTCGACATGCCATCTTTTATCATGCTATATAAACGGCTGAAAGACCATTTCACTGTGAAACTGGCAATATTTCCAGTTATTGGTAGAAGAAATTACAAATGATAATTACTGACCCCAAATGGTTGAAGAAGATTGCAGACTTGCGAATTTCCTGATTTATGGGACAATTCAAAATATTTTAGTGTAGTCGATCAGTTCTCATCAATGACTTTCTGTAGAATTGGACGGTCGCCACTTTTGATATTTGGAAGGTGTAAACATTCAAAACAGTTGATTTATTTCTCCCGTAATAACTTTTGATACTCCTAACTTAAGTTAGATGTCAAATAAATCCATCTTTCATCACTAAAATTCAAGTTGGACCTTAAGGAAGTCACTTGTGCTGACATTTTCGACATAGGCCAGGTTACATAGCATGTCAAATGATGGCATGTCGAAAGACGTCACCTTTGCACATAACACTGAAAGTGGGTTTAAAATGTACTTAAATTTGTTGATGTATGATTGAAACATCTTTGGGTCTTCTTGAAATTCTTCAGCATCCTTTGGTTATCTTCGGGAATCTTCGTCAATTATCTTTGGAAATTTTCGGAGAATGTTCAGAAGCGTTCATGTGGCCCTTGGATGATTTTTAAAGAATCTCCAGAAATCTTCGGAAAGTGGTCAGAAATCTTCGGAAAATTGTCAAAAATGTCATTATCAGTATGTCTATGTAATAAACAAAGTAATACATGGTAACTTGAATGTGTAGATATAGAATATCTCTTTCTGTGTTCAACTTAACATCTTACGAGTGAAGGCATACTATGTCATATTTAAGAAATAGAAAACACATACCATGTTTCTATGGAGTTATAGAAACACGAGTGGAAGTTTGGGAGAACGTGGAATGCTGTGGAAACACAAGCTGTAGGCAAGTGTTTCCACAGCTTTTTCGAGTTCTCCCAAACACCACGTCAAAAAAAGGAAAGCAGCTTGTTTGCTTTGATCATCAAAATGTAAATTCTCTTTGCTCACACCATCATTGCGTCAACAGCTCGTACTAGGTCTGTGTTTCTATCGAGTTATAGAAACACAATTTTTAACTAATCGACGCGCATATTTTCTTAGGGCTGTTTTCTAAATTACTATAATAATCATTCTCCCTTCCAAAGCGGCAATACCCAACCGTTGTCCTGCTGGTCCAGTCACAGTTAACCCTTCATGGTCATTTAAGGAATTTTTTAAATATTTGCACCCTCAGTTCTTCTTTCCTTTGAGTTCGTAGAAGTATATCAGTTTTTGTCAGAACATAGAAAATTGTCCCTAATACATGTAAGTGGGTGTCCAGAGAGTAGGTTTTCACTGTACCTTTAAAGTACTAGTTAATGATATGTGTTAATGTACCAGTTATTATCCTTCATGTTTCAGGAACTACCTGAACATGAAAAAGAAGTTTATCAAGAAATGGCCCGTCAGGATAAAGCAAACAA